TATTTATCTTAAGATAATAAAATTACTTCTGAGGATGTCCTTGGACCAGTCTTCGTTCACCAAACCCCCTGGCAGTCTGTGTAGGCAAATGAAGACCCACAGTGGTTTAAGTTGGGACAACATAGAGCCCCCTCAAACTTCAAAAGAGCTCTTGCTATGTTACAGTAGGTACAAATATACATTGCATAAGCGTTCACACACTAAAGAAAGATAGCCATCAAAGGCTGATGCACAGAAAGCACCGGCTATGAAATCTTGGGTTCTCAGAAAACTCAATTAGTCAAAATATAACATTGCTGAAACGCTGAGCCAATTTACCCGTACAATGTTTCTAAGGAGTGATTTCCTATACAATGTCTTCATTTCCCACACACTGTTTCTTTACTTTTTCCAACTATAAAAAGATCTGGCTAGGGCTTTTCATACGCAGAAAGAGTAAAATATCTCCCTCCTCACTCTGCCCACTCTGTAGGAGAAGTCTGATTTCCACTTGAACAGAGCAGAGTGCTGCCTCTTACAGTTGGCAGAATGCTTGCACACATGTAATCCCATTTGGTCCTCAAAATATTACAGTGAGGGAAACAAATGTACTAATCTCCATGTGGAAACAGAGGCTGGGAGACGTGAAGGGATTTGTCTAAAGGCTCACCCCCAATCATTGGTAGAGCCAGACTAAAATACAGATCTTCTGCCTCTCAGGGAATGCTCTTTCTGAAGCACTGTGCCAATCCCACCCCCTCTCTGTGGTGTGAAGTCGGGGCTCACACACTGGGGAGGTAGAAGGGCTGCACCCACACTGCTTGGCCCGTGGCCAGCAAATGGGCAATTATTACTTATCCTGAATATCCCTCAACCGGAGTTGTGGCTTTCTATTCTAGAAATGCATCCTTTTCTTCCCTTTTCCCACCTGCTTAGCCATTCTCTCTCATTTCACTGTTGGTTCATTAATTTCTTGCCCTCAAAGGACCACATTTTCTCTCTCTCCTTGAGGTACAATGACAAATCATGGTCTAGTTACTAACCTTGCTTCTCAATAGCTACAAAGCTTTCTCTACCCTCCAGGTCAACACTAAACCTCTCTCTTTGCGGAAGGAGTTAGGGCATTTTACAGCTAAAGCTGCCAGAATGTTAACATCAAACATTCAAAAGATCAAGACATACATTTGCATTCCATTTCAATGGTTTTAATGCTAATTCAGATTATTTGGTCGTGCCCACCATTACGAACCTGGTACCTGCTTTTGTCTTTTTTCTACGGTGATAATGTGAAGCTAGAAAGACTGACAGATTAAGAAAGGAGTGGATAGTGAAAAAAGTAACATAGAAAACTTTTGTGGAAAACAACAAAGATATTAAACCGGTTATTTATTAGGAAGAAATTCCCCACCATAGTAGGTTAACATCTGTCATGTTCTAAGAATCACTTAGTAGTCTCTCACTTGAATTTATACAGAGGCTACCTATAAAACCCGCTTGAAAGGTTTAAGAAGGATATTGTTTTGATCGTGTTTGATAACTGAAGGCCAGTTCTGCAACCTTCTGCAGCATTCTCAGAGCTCTGCTGAACACGGCACAGCCCCGGGGGTTTCGGTTGTCTCTCAGAGCCTCCTGGCAAAAAGACAGGCAGCGAGGAGGGAAGCTCCAGGGCTCTAGGGTCAGAGATGCATGGGTTTGAAGCCCTTAAGCAAGTCACTCAAACTCTCTGAGCTTCAGTTTCCTCATCCTTGAAATAGGGAAAACAATCCTAACTCATGAGGTCATTGAAAGCACATTAAATAAAATAGTACAAGTAAGATTCCTGGTACTCAAACCACTGTGGCTTTTACTGAGTTCCATTTAATGTGAAGGAGAATTCTCCTGAGTTTCCCAAAGAATGTGTCCTAAGGCATTCATCAAAGTTTTTTCGAAAAAAAAAGAGGAGGAGGAAGGGGAAGAGGAATAGAAGAAGGAAAAAACAAATACCCTTTGCGTAAATTTCTTCCCCTTGCATGCGTTTCACTTCACACGCCTCCCTAAAATTGCCAATATTTCTTTATGACACTGAAAGCTCTTCAGGCGCTGGGACGATGTCTCCTTTCGGTCTTCCCAAAAGTAGCACAGTGCCCAGCACTTGCTGTTTTTCTTCTCAGTGGGCAACCCCGACTAGAAAAATTAATTCTCAAGGCTCTTCCTAGCGGACGTTCTCCCTTTGTGTATGGCTCTACTCTGGTTTTGAGGAAGCAAATTTGGGTGAATGGTTTCCAAGGAGTGGGGTGGGAGATCTAAGTTTTCAAAGTCAATGGAGGCAAAGATCAGCAAAAATAAGAATAACAATTAGGATATTTGCAGAGTCAAGTTACCATTCTAAAGATCACTTTGGATTTTCAAAGGGAGAAATGCATGTTTACAATGGGAAGACCTAGCAATCACCCACTCAACCAAGTGATTAAATTTTTTTAAGATTATTTATTTATTTATTTATTTGACAGAGAGAGGCTCAGTGAGAGAGGGAACACAAGCAGGGCAAGTGGGAGAGGGAGAAACAGGCTCCCTGCAGAGCAGGAAGCCATATGCGGGTTCGATCCCAGGACCCTGGGATAGTGACCTGACCTGAGCTGAAGGCAGATGCTTGACAACTGAGCCACCCAGGTACCCCTGCCAAAGTGACCACCCAGGTACCCCCGCCAAAGTGATTAAATTTTTTTTTTAAGATTTTATTTATTTATTGACAGAGACAGAGATCACAAATAGGCAGAGAGGCAGTCAGAGAGAGAGGGGGAAGCAGGCTCCCTGCTGAGCAGAGAGCCCGATGCGGGGCTCGATTCCAGGACCCTGGGATCATGACCTGAGCCGAAGGCAGAGGCTTAACCCACTGAGCCAGGTGCCCCCCCAAGTGATTAAATTTAACATCACTAATGAATGGCCAGATACATGTAACATAAAACACACCACATTACCTTGAAGCAGTCTGACCAAAAATGTCTTGTCTGAATCTATTCAAACCTTTAGGCTGAACTGTCAGTACACAAGAAATAGGGGGGATGGAGGACAAGGTAAGGGACACCACAAGGAAATAATCAGATAAATCTAGAATGTAGAACATTCTACATATCGACTAGACTTGTCCCTTCAAAAAGTCTATATCATGAGAAAAGAAAAAAGCTAAGGCACTTTTCTAGATGATAAAACTACTAAAAAGTTTAGGGACCAAATGCAATGTATGAGAATCTTGGTTGCCTCCTGGCTGGAAAAATATATAGTTATCAAAGACATTGAGGGGACCATTGAAGAAATTTGAATATGGACTGGATGTTTGATGATATTAAGGAATGATTATGAACTTAGCAAGTTAAAGTACCTGTTTGTATGTAAAAGAAAGTCCTTGTTCTTATAAGATACATGCTGGAAACTAGGGATGTCTATAATTACTTTCAAAGGGCTTAGCCCCCCAACCAAAACAAAATATTATGTACATACATACATACTCACAGGTTGATAAAGTAAATATGAGAAAATGGGCAATTACTGAGTCTAGGTGTGGAAATATTGGTGTTCATGGACTGTTTCAAATTTTCTAGATGTTTGAAATTTTTTGTAATAAATGTTAGAAAACAAGGAGGCAAAAGTAACAAGCAAGCTAGTGCTCTCTGCCCTGAATGAAATTTTCTTTCTCTTGTATTTAATAATAAAAATAAATTATAAAACTCTTGTCCTAATGTATTTGGGCCAGTTTCTGGGGACTACACATGGTTCAGACACCCTCTACAATGGATTCTGGGAATGGCGTTGTGCTGAGGAAAGAGCAGAGCCCTCTTAAAGGGGTGTCATTTTCACTATCCTTTGAAACCTCGTTAGTCTCACACCAAAGATCCTATCAGCACATGGCTAGTAAGATGATAAGTATAACTGGTATTTGCTTCTTTACCATTTTTTTTATAAAGTACAATCCTTTCTCTTCTTTTAGCTGGACTCCAGTATAGAAATATAGAAGAACAAAGATCTCATCTAGCATGACTGCTCTTTACCCTTTTCAAGGGTTCAAATCCATCCCTTTAAACGCTCAATTTTGAAGGGGCAGCTAGTACAGGGAGATGCTGACAACCACACAGATTTCCAGAAACTACATTTTCCAACCTACCACAACAGCTGTCTGGCCTCATATCAGCACCTCTATTTAACCCAAACACCCCCTCACAGGAGCGGCTTCATGCAAGTCAAATCACCAAATCCAAGAGCCACTTGCTACCAAGTTCATGTACTTAAGGGCCTTCAACAAGCAATAGAAATAGCTTTGAATTAACTTTACAACTTGTGATCTTGCTTCTGAATAAAGATAACCTAGTCATCACTCAAGGGTTTTTGTTGTTGTTGTTGCTGTTGTTTTTAAATGGTGAGGCAGGTGATTTGTAAGAAATACAGCTATGGAGGCAGCAAAGCATCTTTTACGCTGTCTAGGTACTCCATTAGACTTGCTGTGGGGGACAAGAATGAGGAGCAGCAGGGCATGAAAGCAGTAAATAATCCAAGACTTCACTCCACACACCAGGTACTTCTATTTCTTCCTGAACTTTCTAGAAGAACAGCCATTTGAAGATAAACTTGATAAAGGAGAGTTTTTACAAAGGCAGGCAGCAAGAGAAAGAAGCATGACCCCATAGTTAAAAGTTTGTATTACTTGGGAAAAGAGCGTGTAGTGTAGTCTGATGATTAGCCCACAGGGCTCTCTACTATTTTGATTCTCTTCCAAACTAAAACATACCACACTGAAGCTAAAACATAAAAACATAAAATAAACTGAAGCTTAATGCTTAAAATATACATGCAATATATATGACATTATATATACTATATATAGTGAGATATATATGATGAGATCCTATGTATATGTACCTATTTTACATATATATGTATATACATATAATATATATATCATATATATATTACAATCTCCTGGGAAATGTAGAAGTGTTTCCTTTTCACTGTTGAGTTTAAGCTTATTTGAGAAGACAGGAAAGTCTTACCTAGGTACAAGGATGCGTTTTCTTTCTTGACATTGTCATCTAAGTAGGTTGGTCCCAAGGTATAAATAGGTGTGGAACCCATCCCAATGAGAATCTGTGCACAAATGAATAAAGCCACATAGACCCAATGATTATTTCCTCCTGAGTCCTTCAGGCAGGCGGGAGGGTCCGAAGGCGCGGTGGAGTTGCCATTCTGACACAGGCCATCGTTTGAAGCAGAGGCATTCAACTCTTGGATCTGGTAGGGAGGCGAGATGAAGTGAGGTAAAGCAAAGAGGGCAGCCCCCACGGCAATAAAAAGTCCACCCACGGCCAGCCACAGGGGCCTCCGACCCCGGCCGCCAAAGTAGCTGACGAACACCACCACCACCAGGCTCCCAATGTCAAAGCAGCTGACCAGCAGCCCCGACTCGGAACTCTTCAGACTGTAGCGCCTTTCGATGGTGGTGATGACACTGCTCAGGTACCCAGACACCATTAACGCCTGGATGAAGGTCAGAAAGCACATGCAAACCAGGAAGCAACGGGAATCAGTGAGGACCACATAGAGGCACCTTCTCCCCTGGAGCGTGGCCAAAGTGGAGGACACCGACACAGCTTTGCTGACTTCCACCCTGTGGTTACATTCCATGAGCCCTGCCATCTCTGCGGAAGTGGAAGGAGCAGAGGGACTGGGGGCCAGCCGTCTTGGGCCTTGCTTCAACACCTGATGGCCCAAAGAATCTGTACAGCCCATGGCTGGCTTGGCTCCTGCACTCGCAGGACTGAGGTCTGGCCGGCAGGAGGCGCTGTTCAGGACCGGTAAACTCTTGGACCTAAAGGTCTCTGGGTCGCATTTCTCGTGGACAGCTCCTACTGTGGCTTGTGCTTCCAGCTGCTCTCCCGCCGGGGGCTGCAGCCCAGTGCCTTCGTCCATGGCTCTTAAAATTCAGGTTCGATCGCTGATCGTACTCAGGGACTCCGGCGCTTTTCATTCACCAGCACGAGGGGCCGAAGTCGGGCCCACTCAGTCGTGCCCACCAGGGACCGGGGCTGGGGATGCAGAGCCGCGCAGCAGGGCATCCTCACCAGCAGAGAGGCACCCAGGGCATCCTGACCGCAGATGCGGCCCCGAGGCTCCGCAGCCGCGTGCCCCGGGTGGCAGGGGTCCGCGCAGTCCTGCGATGAGCCCTGCTTGGGGTCCACCTCGGGGCGGTAGCTCGCGGCAGGAGCGTTGCGCGTCCCGGGCGCATGCCCTCCGCGGCCGCGGCTCGGCCCGCGGCCAGGAGCGAGTACGCCCGGTGCCCAGAGTGGGGGCGCTTAGCGCTGTTGCCTGCGCCGCATACCGCCCTGCAGGCTGGGCCAGAGGCGCCCTGTCCTCGCCGCCTCGGCTTGCGACACCCTCGGGCGCAAAGATGCCAACCTGCAAAGCAGAGAGAAGGCGGTCAGCGAAGGGCAGCTGCGGCTGGGGCTGGCGTCCCGGCGCCCCGGGGGCCAGCGCTGGGTGACTCCGACAGTCCCAGATGGGACCGAGGGGCGAGCGAGGAGAGAAGCCCGGGAGGAGGAGGCAGCAGCAGGCTTGCAGCCTCTAGTGCCCGAACAATAAGCAGCAGGCGGTCGGCAGAGACCCTCCCTCATTGTCTACCGTGGACCTGCCCCCGCCCCGCCCCTTTTGCCTTAAACAGAGCATCTGCTTTTATATGTTAGTAATTATCAACCTGGCAGCACTGACTCAGAAGCAGTGTCTTTTATTCCAGTGAACTAATTGCAACCTTTTGCTACTCCTACTCCATTACTCAAAATAGAAAATACCCAAAAGAACAAAGGAAAGTTTTTTTGTTTTGGGTTTTCGGGTTTTGGGGTGTTTTGTGTTGTTTTTTTACAAACACAGTACATTCCTAGTACCGATTTTTTAAAAAGAAAAGAAGGGGGTAACGCTACGTGTATAGAAATGTGTATACACACTTGTGCGCAAGCACGTGTGCGCGACTGTATGCGAATCCGTCTGCTTCATCAATTAGAGACACGTATGCAAAGCCCAAAGCAGCCGCAAAAAGGTCAACGCGCCAGCCTCTTTATTCCCAACACTAAAAATAACCCCCCAGCCCGAAAGAACTATTCAGTTTCAAATACCAGGGGCATTTGAGGCTGCGGCCCACACCAAGTCCCAGCGCTCAGTATCACGCGAAACCGAAAATCAGTTTGCTTTGCGGAGGGGTGGGGAAGCAACAACCAAACAAAGAGATGCCGGCACGTTGTCACAGAGCTCGCTAGGAGCCCACCGAGCAGTCTTGGCACGGGGGGGGCTCACGAAAGAGGTGTGCTGTTTACATCGAGCGCACCCCGCGAGTGGGGGCCCGGGGTGCGTGCGCGCGAGCGCGCGCGCGCACACACACACGCACGCACACACACACCGGCGAGTATGTGTCAGAACCCCTCGCGCGATCCTGCATCCAGATCGAATTCAGCAAGAGGCGAAAAGAGGTGTGTCCCCGGAGTAAACCCCCGCCCCTAATCTTGGGGACTCCCACTCCCGTCCTGCGGCTTGGGGTGATGTGCACCAGGTGGGAGACAAGAGCCGGACTTCGCCGCACTGGGTTTCATTTCGCGCTTTTGTGATGATGCTGAGAAGAAAGGAAGAAGGGTAAGGGAGAAAGGCGGAGAGCCCGGGTGGCCAGGGCGGCCGCTCCGGCGGCTCCCTCGGCTCCCTCGGCTCTGAGGGGCCAGACCTGCTCCCGGATTCCCGGCCTGCCAGCCGCTCACACCCCGGGCTTCCCCGCCGCCTCCTTGCCCAGGCGCCTTCCCGGGGAACCCCACCGGCGGCCGCGCGCCGAGCGGGGGAATCCCAGCAAACTCTCTCGGCGCTCCGCGGGCGACGGAACCGCTGCCTGCGCGGGCACCCACACCACAGCGCCGGCTCGGAGGGACACACGGTTCCTGGCAGGGAGCTCTCCGAGCCTGCGTGGAATCCCAGGGACACCCCTGCGCGCGCGCGCGCACACACACGCACACGCACACACACACACACACACACACGCACGCACAACACGCGGGAGGACACCTCGCCGCGCTGCCCAGGCGCACAAGCCGCCGCTACTCACTCGCTAGTCTGTCGGTCAGAACGTCTGGCTGAGAGTGGAGCGGAGCGAAGTGGGGACTGTGGAGGTGCTGGAGTAGTTGGGAGCCGTCTGGGGAGGCAGCTTCGGTCCAGCGGCGGCGAAATCCGTGAATGAGACTGTGAGTCAGGCTGAACTCTTACCCCCACCCCTCGCCTGTCACCCAAGCCTCTCCTCTCCAGACACACGCGCACAGAGACGCGCCCGGAGCGGAGCAGCAGAGGGCGCAGGCGCGCGGGCGACCGCCCAGCCCGGCCCGAAGGGTGCCCTTCACCTGCGCGGTGGGGGAGACGCGGGAGCATTGAGCATTGAGGCTCCGAGGGAACAGTCTCCCAAAAAGTCAGCTGCTGAGCCAGAGAGCCCACTCGGAATAAAGAAATTATTTCTGTTCGTTTTTCCGTGCCGTGGGCATCCACAATGTCTAGGGACCAGAGTAGGATCTGGGGAGCAAAGATGAACAGCACAGGATCCCTGGACTGAGGAAACCTCTGTCTCCTGGAAGAAATACCCGCTAAGTAGCCTAAAACAACAAAGTAAGTTCTATACTGGATGCCACCGAAGAACCTAATATCCACTAGCCTCTTCCATATTCATTTCCAAGGCTGAAGGAAAGCCAAGCGCAAGAGCACGAGGTATGGTGCTCCAAGTGAGTAGGTAGAAGAGCCGCAGGGAGGTCGCAGGGATGCAGCAGAGGACTGAACGGCAAGGGTGGCAGAGTGGAAAAGGTCAGCAAGGGCTTCATAGGTTGTGTGCTGTCTGCACCGAAGGGCCGGTGACATTCTGCCTTGCTTCCCACACTTGCTCTCCGACTGTGCTGGCAGTCGTGGGTGAATGGAGGCCCCGCTGTGGGGACCGAGGCGAGTTAGGAAGCATGGTCTTGGGAGAAAGATGGTTCTCCTCTCAAGAGGGCGTTGGTTTTGACAGCCAAGTATACATGTCCCATAAATTTTTTTTAAGATTTTTATTTATGTATTTGACAGAGAGAGAGAGATCACAAGTAGAAAGGCAGGCAGAAGGGGAGGGGGGAAGCAGGCTCCCTGCTGAGCAGAGAGCCCGATATGGGGCTCGATCCCAGAACCCTGAGATCATGACCTGAGCCAAAGGCAGAGGCTTTAACCCACTGAGCCACCCAGGCGCCCCGCCAAAAACCTTTTTTAAAAAGATTTTTATTTATTTATTTGAGAGAGAGAGAGAACACAGAGGGCGAGTGAAAGGGAGAAGCAGACTCCCTGCTGAGCAGAGAACCCTCTGTGGAGCTTGATCCTAAGACCCTGGGATCATGACCTGAGCCAAAAGCAGATGCTTAACTGACTGAGCCACCCAGGGTCCCCCAACTATTTTGATAGATGACACACAGGAAGTCTGGACAAGGGATATGAATTAAGAATTAGCAGCCGATGGGGCACCTGAGTGGCTCAGTGGGTTAAGTCTCTGCCTTCAGCTCAGGTCATGGTCTCAGGGTCCTTGGGTCGAGCCCCGCATCAGGCTCCCTGCTCAGTGGGGAGCCTGCTTTCCCCCTCTCTCTGCCTGCCTCTCTGCCTACTTATGATCTCTCTGTGTCAAATAAATAAATAAAATATTTTTTTTAAAAAAAGAATTAGCAGCCGAAAGGTGGCTTTAGGTGAGTAAGGAAAATCAGGCGGACTAAGCAGAGGAAGGACAGGACCAGGGGTCACCACAAAGAAAAGGAGAGGGGGAAAAGCTAAGGACAGCGATTAGAAGCAGTGGCCAGAGAGGTATGTGATCAGAGAAGTCAGACACCATAGCGGCAGAAAACTTTAAGGAGTTATCAGACGAGGGAAAGGCTGCAGAGAAATAAGAAAGGATAACTGAAAAGAAACCATTAGCTGTAGCAGATGGGAGGACTCTGTTGAATTTGGAGACAAGGAAGAGGTGACCTAATGAAGGAAGGGAATTGCCTTCTACAACTGCCATACCTATGCAGGCCACTGCCGTCATGACAAAGCCACTTCACTGACCCTTGGCCTTATCCAATGAGCGCACTGTCTCCACTTTACAGACACGATGAGTAGAGTGTAGAGAGATTACGCTGGGGAGGCACACAGCTAGTCTATGGAACCCATGTGTTCCTAAAGCCCATTCTCTTGACTCTGACTCTATATTCTCTCTTATAATCATATAGCAGCTTGACTTTCCAGTACACCTTGTATCTGTTAATTATCCCACTTTGGTCCAACAACTACCATTCACAGTCAATCCTTAGAGAACAAAATAGGCCACCTGACACCAAAGAATGGTTAGGGTGTGTTTGACATTCATGTTGAGATAGCACTGATCTCCCGGCAGCTTCCAGACTGACCAAACAGGGTAAATATATTCCTTTCTTCATCCCCTACCACCATCCCCTCCTCCTGAGATCTCCATTAAACCCACTGTTAATTTTCCACAAACAGGCCAGATAACTCCAGCTGCCAGGCCTGCCCAGATTTTAGTCCCCTACTGTTGGGAAGGTGGGCAAAAATATGAGTTCCTTCTTGAACCTAAATACTCCTCTGAGCTTATTCTGGATCCAAACAGATTCGATCTGCCTCCTATGACATCCTTCTAAGCTCTTTGGCCCATTCTCTCATTTTGGCCCCAGCCCCAAACATGCGTTGTTCTTCAGCAAATTCAGTCTGTTGCATTTGGTGTTAGCAGAGGGTTTCCCTGCTGGAAAGTCAAATAATCATGTCCCTGGAACATGCTGTGTTTCTTCCTGGTCAATTACCATAGTTAAACTAAAAACAACTCTAAGAACCTATAGATATTTTTTTATTTCCCCTAACAGAAAGATAATGATTCATAGACAGAATTTAAAAGGTCCAATTAGCTCTCCATACAGGAAACAAGAAAAAAACATTCAGCAAGAGACATCTCTTTCGCTTTCCCTTCCATAGTTAAGTATGACTTCAGAAAAGGCCAGTTGTGTCTCCATCAGCCCTCATCTTCAGATTCATAAAAGAAATGGATTCAGATCATAGGATTCTGCTATACCCATGGCTCTTTCACATAATATGAATGAGTACAATTGCCTGAACGGGGACGCCTATCTTGTTAGGTATATGGGGATAAACTCTCTTCACATTTCCGGTTTGCTAATGCTTCTTCTAAGTTATTAATCAGTCGAACTTACACCTAAGTTTCTCCTTTCCAAACCTTCACATATTGAAGTTAGTCTTTGGAATTACCTATGGCATTCCATGGGCTTAAAAATCTGGCTACTCTGGAGAATGGAACAGGGAAAGCAGAAGGAGCCAACTCTTGGTTCCCACTCAGGTTGCGGGCTCATGTTTTGATCTCTTGGCCATGGGATCAAGCCCTGAGTTGGCCTCAGCACTCAATGGGGAGTCTGCTTAAGATTCTTGCATTTTACCTCTGCCTCTCCCACTTGTGCACACGAACACTCTCTCTTTCTCTTTCTCTCTCACAAAAATAAATAAATAAAGCAGAAGTCTCTTTAGGACCTATATGAGGGATGACCTTGAACTATCAGTAAACTTCTCAAAGTCTAGATCCAGAGAGCAATGCCAAGAAAAAACTTGAATTCCTCTCTCCTTCCTCCCTTCTTGATTTTCATTCCCCATCCATGGACATTTTTCTCCCCAGGATGATTGGAAAGATCCATATTTCAGGGTTGACCTGAAGGAGGTGACTTTATCCCAGAGCCCAGAAGAATAATTAACACAAGATAATAAAAGCCAACATACTCACTGCAATGACACACCGAGGGTCCCCTTCAAAGCAGGTAGGATGGCAGCCAGGTTCTCATTTCTTTACATTTATCTAAAAGACCTGGAGATCTGTTGTACAACATTGTACCTGCAGTCAATAAAAATGTATTGTGCACTTAAATTTTTGTTGAGGATAAAAAAAATTTTTTTTTTGAGGGTAGGTCTCACTGTAAAAGTGTTCTTACCACAATAAAATAAAATCAAAGAAAAAGAAACGAAAGACCTGAAACACTGACAGTTATAAATTACCTGTGGTGTAGTTCTGTGGGTAGCAAAAGGCAAGCTAGCCTCTGGACAGCAGCATCCTTCTCCCCCTCCCCCACCCCTCTTCAGAAGGTCTGTGTCATCGGTGGCAAATGAACACTGTTTCATCTTTGTGGTGAATGCACGGGTGTCACTTACCATGTTTCATCATGAGAAGATGCCCTAATTCTAAGAGGCACCATCATTTTATGTGCTACTAAGAAGAAAAAAATGCTTCCAATTAGACTATGACACATGCCTTCATGATGAAAGAGAGGAAAAGAGGGCTCTGTTGCCACACTGCCTAAATTTAATTGTGGCTCTGCCATTTAGGGAAGTCTGGCCTTGGACAATTTCCCAAGCCTCTCTGCCTCAGTTTTCAAGCTGGGGTTCATCACAGTATCTGTCTCACAGGGTTGTTGTAAGCCGTAAATTAGAGAACATCGGCAAAATGCTTACAAAGGGGCCGGGACCAAGGCTGGTGCTCTTAATGTCAGCCTTTGCTATAGATCTGCATTATTGTCTTTTCATTCATCTTATGCACAGTTTTTCCTCTCTGGCTGTCAGAAGGCAGGGGACCAAGAATCTTTCATTTCATGCGGGCCACATACTTCTCTAGAATTTGTTAACATTCATTCCTATCTGGGAAATTATGGCCAGACTGATAAAACATCATATACCCTGTAGGATCCACTATTTGGTTGTTTCTGTTTGCTTTGTTTCATTTTTCATCTTTTAACCACTGGAATTCCTTCCATACTGGTACCCCCCATCATTACTCAAATATGTATGAAAACTAAACAGTAATGATGCCCTTCATTTATCATAGTAGGACTCACTACCTATTTTACATACATTGTTTCACCTTCACTCCTCAGTATATAGCATCAATTCTGTTGATAGAACAGAGAGCTGAGATTCAAAGTGATCATCAACTTGCCCTAAATCATTCGGCAGAGAAAGTGTGGAGATCCAAATCTAATCACCCACGTTCCAAGACCTGTGCTTCTGGCAACCTACCTGTATTTTCTTGCAATTATGCTTTACATAATTTTTAGGACACCATCCACTGATTAAGATAAGCATGTCTCTATCGTGAAATATTTAAGTGAACTAAAGGATGAAGCAGTCTAAACAGAAACACTGCATTCCACCACTTTTAAGTAAAAACAGAAAACAAACTACCCAAAGAGCCGTGGTCTCTGTACT